TTGATCAATATCTTGATATTGATTATTGAAGTGTACCGAAGAAGTTATAAATATGATACGTATATTTATTGTGATCATCAGTGACATTATTTCATGTGATGTGCTGTATTCAAGTATTAAATATATATAGTGATTCAAAAAGGTATTCGTGTTCTATTATTAACTATTGAAGGACGACTGTGATTAAGGACAAGTAATACACGTCAATCATTGCAAGTAACGTAATCATGATCAACACAACTATGGTGCGTTACAATGCTCATCAGTAAGTTTCACCCTGAACTTCTGATACGTACTCCCAAAAAGGCACATGATCCGCTTGAACAACCTGGATATCTCAGGGAAGGTGGACACTAATTCTCTCATAAATTGTCCAAGCTTGTCTGTTTTCTATTCACCTCCATGAACTTAGCCTTGGGTTGAAAATTTCACTGAAGTTCAATCACTTCAATTTTAAGCGCAAAAAAAAAGGGGGAGCATTTCCACATTGAAAAAGAAAGGGTCAACAAAAATGTGATAATGGCTCTGTGCGTTTTGAAGTCTGTAAACCTGTGATGAAACTATTTCCTGTAGCTTTTCAATGGCCTCAGTATACTTACAACTGAATAGTCTGCCCGAGTCCTTGAGCACTTTGCATATTTGAAATTGGCGGAGGTTTCTCTCAGAAGGCTTGACTTAACATAGCATCCTCATATGATGACAGTTTTTACATTTAAAAGGCATGGAACTGACGGTGCTTCAAGCCCCTGGATCTCATATGGTTGATGCATTTCACAACGTCAGACATCACATTGTCCATTTCATGCATTTGCTGCAAAGTGTCTGCTGATGGATAATGCAGTGTAGCAATGGCCTCTTCCACATCATCCTCTTCCAGTTTTCTTTGAACATGTGACACGAGTACATTTATTTTCCCTGTCATTGATGACGCTCTGTCGATTATTCTCCTGCATAACTTTTCCACGGAAAACCGGCATCCACAATAGCATCACACAGCTACCGGAATATCTCTGGAGCAGTGGTCTAAACATGCATTGGAATCACTTAGAGCAACTCCTCTATCACTTAAAAATTAGCATCAACCCCACGGAAATCTATTGGGAGTTGTGCATTATCAGTTACATCTAAGCTCTTATCAAGAGGTTACATCTAAGCTCTTATCAAGAGGTTACATCTAAGCTCTTATCAAGAGGTTACATCTAAGCTCTTATCAAGAGGTTACATCTAAGCTCTTATCAAGAGCGACTGAGTGTGCATGGAAAAGTTTTCCTTTCTCGCACAGTTGATCATAAATGTCACCGGTGTAATACTGGTACTGTTGGTCACCGGTGTAATACTGGTACTGTTGGTCACCGGTGTAATACTGGTACTGTTGGTCACCGGTGTAATACTGGTACTGTTGGTCACCGGTGTAATACTGGTACTGTTGGTCACCGGTGTAATACTGGTACTGTTGGTCACCGGTGTAATACTGGTACTGTTGGTCACCGGTGTAATACTGGTACTGTTGGTCACCGGTGTAATACTGGTACTGTTGGTCACCGGTGTCATACCGGTACTGTTGGTCACCGGTGTCATACTGGTACTGTTGGTCACCGGTGTAATACCGGTACTGTTGGTCACCGGTGTCATACTGGTACTGTTGGTCACCGGTGTAATACCGGTACTGTTGGTCACCGGTGTAATACTGGTACTGTTGTTACAGGTTAAATGTTCTGCCAACGTCTATAGATTCTGTTGTTTGTTCTGTTGATGAGGTCTTTTAGTTTGTTTGATTGTCCTCTTTCTCCATTGAACGGTATAACTTCGTGTGTGCTTTGTGCATGGTATGTTAATTCAAGGGAGAGAATGAGAGGACATGTATATATAGAACGGACAGAGTTATGCAGCCATGTTGTAAAATGGTTTTACTATATTTGTGTACTATATTTAAATGTGTGATCTTTGTGAGAGCAGTAGTAGAGATAATTAATGAAAAAGAAATGGATATTCTGAATTAACAGTAATACTATTATCTAACATGTGAATACCTTCTTAGTGTAATAAATGGCCAGTATTAGTTACTTCAAGTGACTTGATGACTTCTTAATGTGGCAGTAACAGCTACTCAGTTGTCGTACGTGTGATGCTGTTTAGGTCTGCTGTACTCACTACTTACATTTCCCCAACCATCATTCGTCTGCTTGAACTCGAGGTAGGCCTCCAATGTCTCTATCAATTATGGGAAAACCTTAAAAAGGACCCAGCAAAACAACGAAAGTAGCGAAAAGAGGCCTTTAACAGCGAACAAGCAACAGTATAAAAGGCATGATATAAAAGTAACACTTAGCTGTAATTTAGTATCCGAGAGAAAAGCAAGAGGAATTATAAAGATTTAAATATTTGGTAAATATTAGAAAAATAAACACCTCGACTTGACGTCATCTATTTGGAATAGCATAAATGAAAATACTTATCTATGTTTTACAACTACAATGTTTTTTCTGGGTTTTTTCAGGAATAAGTTTTTGGCACTCATATGTAAAACAATTAATATTAACTCCCATTTAGGCCTAAAGTTAATCGTACTATCAACATATAAATGCCTACTGTTATTATAATCTCCCATACTGGCCAACTGTTAATCTTACCTCCCATATTGGCCTACTGTTACACTTAACAACCTTATTGGCCTTCTGTTATACCTACTGTTAACCTTACTTCGCATATTGGCCTGCTGTTAATCTTACATACCATATTGGCCTATTGTTAATCTTAGCTACTGTATTTGCCTACTTTTAAGTTTATCTCTCATATTAGCCTTCTGTTAATCTTACAAAACATATAGGCCTTCTGTTAACCTTACCTCTAAAATTTGCATACTGTTAATCGTACCTCCCTTATTGGCTGATTGTTAATCTTAGCTACCGTATTGGACTACGTTTAAGTTTTCCTCCCATATTGGCCTACTGTTAATCTTACCTCCATTAGTTGCCAGCTGTAAATCTAACCTCCCATACTGGTCTACTGTTAAACTGATCCCCCATATTGGCCTACTCTTCTGTCACAAATTTTTATCAACATCGTATACTTAAAATTTAGAAATTTTCAATTTTAAACTCACAGCCTACACGTTTATGTTCAGCTCACCATCTTGATGCAGTCAAAGCCTTAACAACATATTTCATTTGTAGTTTAATACAAATGTATTTTTAAAGTGAGGGATTGCATTTTCTTCACAGTTAAACGCAAGTGCTGACAGAAATTATCCTGGAAAAAGTAAATGCGTCCAACAGCATGACGTCAGCTGCCATTTTAACAGACAAATAATTGGTATTGGTAAAAAGTATGGGGGGGGGGATGTTGCATTTGGCAATATTTCCAACGTCAAGCATCTAACGACCAAGTGCTATTACAATGACCTTAAATAATTGAAATAATTGTTCGTGTGTTTACCAGTGTTCTTACAGCATGTTCATGCAGTTGTGCTGTGAGCCATGAGCTGCATGGTTTAAGCAGCTATGCTCTTAGCCTTGAGCTATTGTACTACGACATCTCGAAGGTTTGAGACCCCTCTTAATTTTTTGTATACGTTCGTTTTAAAACTGTACACCATATTGCACTAAACCTATGCGCCACGTTGCATTTAAAAATTGTGCTAAATATTGCATTTCAAAACTATGCACCATATTGCTTTTTGAAAGTATGAACCATATTGAAATTTAAAACTATGCACCGCATGTCCTTATTGCACATAAACACTGTGCGCCATATTGCACTATTACACTATCCCCAAATATTGCGCAATGTTGCACAGAAAAATGTGCATAATGTAGCACTATGAAACTATGCACCATATTTCACATTGAAACTATGCAACACAGGTTACTTTAAAATTATGCACCGATTGGCACTTTAAGTTGCTCATGCTTTTGGCATTCATTGCTTTTTCAATCTTTGATGTTTGGTTTTGACTTTTCAGAGGTTGATTTTAAACATTGAGTAATATCACCGAAATGTGTCACCCTCTGAGATGGTGGCACGCGTGTGGTCCACACCCCCAACGCACTATAGCGCACGCCACTGCCCTCCACTTGGCCTATATTCTAACTATTATAATAAACATTTCTACTTATTTTCCCCCCTCCAGTGTTTGCAGGTTTAATTTAAATTGCAATCTACTGTTACGCCTCCTGTAAAAACTAATTAATCAGCCGACCAAAATTTTATTTTGCCCTCCCCTACACCTGAAAAGACCTTAAATGACGCCTCTGAGCCAAACACCAAAAAAAAAAAAAAAAAAAAAAAAAAAACCTTAAAAA